CATTTAGTTTACATGAGTACTAATTTCCAAAATTTCCTACAATCCAATAGTAAATCTTTTTTTTTAATTTTCAGGATTCCAACTGTATCGGTTCTTCCAAAATTACAGATGAGTACAAATTTCCAAAACTATCTACATACCACAGTCCACACAGTTGAAATTGTACCCAATATAGTACCATTTAGCACTCAGTACTACACTCCGACTGAAATTTTAATTTCAAATTTCAGGATTCCAACTCCATCTGTTCCTCCAAGTTCAACATGTACTGCTTCTCCCAAAATTTAGATTATTCCAAATTTAGTACCATTTAGTACACATAAGTAGGAATTTTAAAACCTTCTTAGATACCCACATTCTACAATGCAATAGTATTCTTATTTCCAAATTTCAGCATCCCAGCTGTATCGGTTTATCGAAATTGAAATTGTACCAAATTTAGTACCATTTGTACTTTGGAAAACTACCTCCGTACCTCAATCCCTCACGACGCCAGAACTGCTAATTTTAAATTTCAGGATTCCAGCTCCACCGTACCTCCAATTTTAACTCTTTCGTACTTTTTGTACACATGGGTGCGTACTTCCAAAATTACCTCCTAAGTCGACCCTATTCCTTAACCTTGCAAGTTTTTACCTCTTACCGTTCACTTGATACGAAATGCTACCAAATATAGTATATTTCAGTACTTTTCGCACAAATTTTGTGCGAACTTCCAAAAACGCTTTGGTACATCCATCATACACTCCATAAGTGACCCTTCCAAACGTAAGAGTTCTAGCTGTACTGGTTCGTCATATATAAAGTGTACCACGTTTAGTATCTTTTAATACTTTTCGTATGCATGAGTGCACACGTCGAAAACTACCTCCAACTCTACTTCTCAAATTTGAATCCCATTGCAAATTTGAAGGTTTTAGATCTAACCGTTCACACGATACGAACCGTGTGCAGTACATTTTAGTACTTTTCGTGCCCTTTTAGTGCGAATTTCGAATAATCCTTTGGTTTATCCATTATACACTCCATCAGTGACCATTTAAAATTTTAGAGTTCTAGTTCTACTGTTTCCTCAAATACTAAGGGTACCATATTCACCTTACCTTTTTTAATTTTCGTACTGTTCTAGTAAAAATTTCCAAAAATCCAGCCTTTTTTGACACCTTCGGACCAAAAGTGAACCTCACCCAACATTTCAAGATTTTAGCTTCAGCCGTTTCGACTGGGCGTTGATGAATCAATTAGTAAGTCTCTCCGTCAGTCAATGCTTTACTATTTTATTGCTATATTTTATCTTCTCATAAGTTTATATATTATTTTCCATATTTTCCCTACATCGGCCCACTGTTCCGTACATTAAATGACTGGCTGGTTGTGTTTGCTCTTTCATAAATCCGTTTTGTATTGCATATTCTCTTGCAATATCATGCTGCTGTTCCTTTCCCAGTTATGCATTGCTTCATCATCAAAGCCATCGCATTGCATCGCATCGCATCCTTATCATTCTCAGTCGCATCGTCATTAGAATTATGAATGAAGTCGTGAACATCTTGAAAGAATTTGAATGCATGAAATTAGGATATTTACTCTAGACACTCACTGTTCTACTCCTTCTGACACATTTCATGGACCGAACATCAACATCAGCGTTAATGCGATTTGCAAAATAAAGATGGTGTTGATAATAACATCGAGACTCAAAAGACAGAGAGAGAACTATGCAAAAATGTTTAATAAAGGTTATTACCATAACGAAGGGGGGTAAGTGGGTAAGAAATACGGAGCATAGAACACCAGAGACATTGCAGAGTATATACAGGTTTGCTCTTTAAACCATGAAATATATGCAAGCAACAACAAATTGTAATACCCGAAGAATATGAAAATAAAATACACATGCAATACACTATTTTTTTTTGTAATCCCAAAAAAAGAGTAAAATGCAAAAATGCAACAACAAAGTATAATTTGTAATTACTTTGCTGTTATTTTTACCATTTGTTCCAGTTCTACTGCTATCCTGGGAATTTATGGTAACAAAGTCTTTGTTATGCAGATGTGATCAAAAAAAAAGGTATTTTTTGTGTGTGTGTGTGTGTATGTTAATAGACAAGCTTGCTTTTTATGTTTTGATCCTGTGTGTGTGTGAATATTTTTTTTCCCCAGCATTACATCAGCTTTGAGAGGAGTTACAGTTGCAAAGGATGGTTGGATGGATGACCTTTACAAAAACTATTACCAACAACAGGGAAATGATTATTATATACATTAAAAAATATGTATGTATGTATGTATGTGTGTTGTAAATTGTTACATAAATTTCTCAGAGCCATTGCAACTGATGTGCAACACAATATCGAGCAAATCTGACATCAAAATAATTAACAGAGCATAAAACTATTATCAAAGTAATGTTGATTTTATATTATGATATGACAGGACGTAGGATATTTGCCCTCAAGGTTGAAAATGTAACACTTTCTTTCGAAAGATTAAAATGTTGGGAAACATGAAAATGGGAACTTCTATTCAAGATCCGACGAGCTTTGTAACATTACTTCCGAAATAAAGGTAAGATAGGACCAGCTTATAATAACGTGAGTTTAGATAAGAACGTAGTATAAGACTCTTTCTAGGGACTAGTCAGAAATGCTAAGGGGATAGGCATTTATAGAGCTATAATTTTTAACTAAGTTTTTCAGAAAAAAAAACTATTTCAAACTCGAACACAAAAATTCCGAAAGTATTAGATGCCAAGAAGTAGACTAACACACTCGAATTTAAACCAATACCAAAAAGTTATTAATGGTGCTGAAATCTTAAAAGAGTTTAAGGATTCCCAAGACAAACTTTTTTCATGGACACATTATATAGGCTTAACCCTACACAAAGAGCCTCAAATATTTTGCTCTATATCTTGCAATATTTAAAAAAGAGCTTGGAAATTTGATACGAGACTGAGGGTTATATGTATAATCATTTGTACATAATATGATTCATGTCGGTCCACGTTTTGGTATTGCCCCCATATAGGGGTATATAAGGTGAGGTGAAAAAACTGCAAACAACTTCAGACTGCTGTCATTTCTAAGCCACTCGTCCGCCAGCTGTTAAAATTATTCCAGTGACAGCTCGTTATATTGTTTACAAGCGTACAAAAGCATTTTTGGTGAGAATTTTCCAGGAAAACAGTTATTCGTGATAGAAATCAAGCGTGATAGTCTGATTTCTTTATATTTGGCTGGAAAACCACAAAAGGCTATCGTTAGAGCACTCCAGCATTTAAATGTGAATAAATCTTTTGTGTCTCGTACCATCGCTCGTAGCGTAGCCCGACGTCAAGGACATGGACTAAGGAAAGCAGCAACATCAGCAGAAATGGTTCGAAAAGTAAATAAGCGACTTGATCGAAACCCGCGTCACAGTGGCCGAAAAATGGCTCGTGAGCTGAACATATCGCAATATTCCATACGGCAAATATTGAAAAATGAGCACGGGGTAAAGCCGTTTAAATTCCAAAAAGTGCAAGCACTTACACCGCAACAAAAAAGAGAAAGAAAATAGACTCAAAAGAGCTAAAGAGTTTCTTCGCTTGGCCGAAAGTAGTCAACAGCCGAATTTGGTTTTCTCCGCTCCGATGAGAAAACATTCGCTGTCCAGCAGTTTGTAAACAAACAAAATGATCGCATTTACTTGCCAGCTGCTGGTCAGCTGAAAATGTGCACCTTCGGTTGGCCACCAGAACTCAATCGCCGGCCATGGTGAGGGTGTGATCCGCCATAATAGTCGTTTGTCGCTCTCCGCTCGTATTAATCGATCGTGTCATCAGAATAAATGCCGAATATTATCGCGAAAATATTCTGGATGGTGTATTAAAGCCTTGGGGACGCAAATATTTTGGCCGCAGACCTTGGACATTCCAACAGGACTCAGCAGCATCGCACTCAGCACTCGCCACTTAAGAATGGTTACAAAATGAGGTTCCTCGCTTAATTTCCAGCGCACAATGGCCACCAAAATCTGCGGATACCAATCCGTTTGGAAAGCAAGGTTGGCACTAAAAAATACCAAATTGTCGATCACCTCAAGCAAGCGCTTCGCCGGGAATGGGCCAAAATACCGCAGAGCAACATTCGTGCAACGTGTGACGGTTTCATTGGCCGTTTGAAAGCCATAATTCCTGCCAAAGGTGGCCAATTCGAATAAATCTAAAATTATTCTAAAATTTGATGCTATTTCCGATGATGCTTTCATTCAATAAAATTTAAGAAGAAAATGTTAAAATTATTGCGCTTGACTTTGTTGCAGTTTTTTTTTATCTCACCCTGTAGTATTTTCCACCTTGAATATTGAAAAACATAACCTAATCTCGCACCCCCACCCCAAGGCTGACCAAAATTTAAGGATTCTGAATTCACATAGATTTTGGGAATTTTCAATACTTCAATATCTTTCCTTACTAAAGAGGGTCCTGAATAAAAAAGAAAATGACTGGATCCTCATTCAATGAAATCTAGAGGGTGTCAAAAATTCCGATTTTATAAATTTGCAAAAATAAAATAAATAACTAAAAAAAGGCAAAATCTCTGGAGCAGAAGCCTCTTCCAATTAAGTCCAGAGAGCGCCAGTAGCTGGAATTGATAGTTTCAGGTAAATTTTAAAATAAATACAGACCACTGCATCCGACTTAGTCTATTAATAAACATCTAATTTTAAGTCATTCGCTCAGAGTCCGTAAATTACCCAAATCTTAAGAAGACTTATTGCGGTATTAACTGTCCACTGCCTTAATTCAAATTATACAAAGTGCCTCAAATTTTCATATGATAACCTCTGGCACGGTTGCGGGAACGTAGGAAAAGATTAGCTTATTTCCCATTAATAAGCAAACGTTTTCTGTGCTTTTCTTCCCAATAAACAGAATTTTCAGGTCCCCCTAATATCCAAAAAAAAAAAAAAAAAAATGTATAAACAAAATACATTTCTGGTTGTCAGACAACATTTCTATAAATTTGCTACTCTTTTTGTAACGATCGGAACTGACACCTAAGCCATGAAACCATTTGGATTTTCGACTCGAAGTACCTTCCGAAATCTCTACAAAAATCCATGGAAAGTCGCAATAAAATCGTTCTTTAGTTATGCCAATGAAATTGCACACCCATTGCCAAGGAAGCCTCCAAATGTGGCACCCAAAGAAGCCGTCAAATGCATTAAATCAGGTGATGTCGTATTCTGCCAGGGAGCTGCAGCAACACCAAATGTTCTTATCTCCGCCATGGTGGAACATGCCAAAGAGAACTGCCTAGAGGATATCACCGTGTGCCATATGCATACCGAAGGTCCTGCAGCCTATTGCACTCCAGAAAATAGTGCAATATTCCGTTCTACTTCTTTCTTTATGGGAGGAAATGTTCGTCAAGCTGTGGCCGAGGGGCGTGGTGATAACTATGCCATATTTCTACATGAAATTCCATTGTTGTTCTACAAGAAAATTGTCCAACCGGATGTGGCACTGATACATGTTTCACCACCAGATCGTCATGGATTTTCCTCGCTGGGCACAAGTGTGGATTGTGTTCGGGCAGCTCTGCTAAACTCAAAGAAAATTATTGCCCAGATAAATAAACAAATGCCAAGGACCTATGGTGATGCCTGTATACATTCTTCGCATTTCGATGCCATGACTGAAGTTGATGTCAAGCTACCCCAACATGGCGGAAAACCAGGTGAGAAAGAATTGAAAATTGGAAAACTAGTGGCGGAAAATCTGGTATGTGATGGAGCCACCTTGCAAATGGGTATTGGGGTAATACCCGATGCTGTGCTCAATGCCCTGCACAGCCACAAAGATTTGGGTATTCACTCGGAAATGTTTGCCAATGGAGTTGTGAATCTGGTGAAAGCTGGAGCAGTGACCAATCGCTTTAAGAAAATGCATCAAGGCCGCATTGTGGGCTCCTTTCTAATTGGCGATGAGGCTCTATATGATTTTGTCGATGACAACACATCCATTGAAATGTATGCCATAGACTATGTGAATAGTGTCAGCGTCATCAAGCAACTGCCTCGCATGACTGCCATAAATTCAGCCATCGAAGTGGATCTCACGGGCCAGGTATGTGCGGATTCAATTGGAACCCGGTTCTATTCTGGATTTGGTGGCCAGGTTGATTTTATACGTGGTGCTGCTGAGGGAATTGATGGCAAAGGAGTTCCCATAATTGCCCTGCCGTCAGTAACCAATAAGGGAGAGAGTAAAATTGTACCCATCCTTAAACCTGGTGCTGGTGTGGTCACCTCTCGCGCCCATGTCCATTACGTGGTAACAGAACATGGAATTGCTTCGCTGTTTGGAAAAAATATGCGTCAACGTGCCTATGAGCTGATACAAGTCGCCCAACCCGAGCATCGTGAGAAATTGGAGAAGGCCGCATACGAGCGTTTGAAGGTCATGCCTTCTAAGTGTTAAATTGAATTGTTTTTTTTTATTGTTATAAATATAATATATGGATTTGTATAGATTAATGTGTTATTGGGTCTTTATCGTATATGACCTGTCAGAAATTGTGACGTATATGACGTATTTTTCCGCCATGCCATACATACGTTGTAAAAGTCGTAACCCTAGGCAGTTAACTAGAATTTTTGACAGAAACAAGGTGATTGAATAGTTAAGCTCATTAATAATCGCATGACTATCATCTGAGATATCGTTCCATATTTTCCATAAACAGCAGACTCAGAAGACCTTATAAACAGACCTCAGAAAGGATGATTGTTACTTTGGTTGTAGAGATTAAAGCCACAAAAACAAACAGTTAATGCATTTGGTTTAATGAAAAAACCAACGGTGTTAAGATTGGCTACTTTGCAACAACTAAACACAGTGGCTCAATTCGAATTCTATGGTAATCTGAAATAAAAGCCTTAATAAAGACGACAAATTTTAAATGAAAAATTTTATAAAGAAAATGTTTATCACTTCATGTTTCAATAGAACAAATATCCAGCCTCCGATTTAAAGCTCTTTGAGGTAACTTTGCAATATTTGGCAAATATTTGACACAAGAAAACGACCTTCCCGGTTATCAACCACTTCGCAATGCATTATTTGGAATATTACAAATTTTTAGAAGTTTATGATGTTTTATACCATTTCCACGTTTTAAACAGGTATTTGACGTTTTCGACGTTCACAACTTTTCCACAGTCGAAAACAAAAAAAAAAAAAAAAAAAAAAAAAAAAAAAAAACAAGTAAAAAAGCTCTAAGTTCGGCCGGACCGATCTATGAATATTCTCCACCATTTGGAACGATTTTGGCAATTTTCAAAAAAAAAAAAAAAAAAAAAAAAATACCGAATATAACCGTTATATTAGGGTCCATACGACGACGTGGACCTGCATTGGCAACTTTTATCATAGGCCATTACAATATTCAAATGCGAAACTTGAATAAAAAAATTCGGTGAATAATGTAGCTAAAATCATCAAAATTCCGAATATAGGGAGGTATCGTTATACTGGGGCAATACGAAGACGTAAAACTGCACAGACAATTTTCTGTCATAGGCTGTAGTATGCATTGCGGACTTCAAATACCAAATGTGAAACAATTCCGGTGAATAATATCGCTAAAGTCATCAAAATACCGAATATCGGGAGGTACCGTTATACGGGGTCTTTACGAAGACGTGAACCTGCACAGACGATTTTCTGTCATAAGCTGTAGCATCCATTACGAACTTCAAATACCAAATTTGAAATAATTCCGGTGAATAATGTCGCTTAAATCACTAAAATAACGAAACAAGGAAAGTACCATTATATGGGGGCTATACGAAGACAATTTTCTATCATAGACTGTAGTACCCATTACGAACTTCAAATACCAAATGTGAAACAATTCCGGGGAATAATGTCGCTAAAATCGTCAAAGTACCCAATATCGGGAGATACCGTTATATGGGGTCTACATGAAGACTTGGACTTGCATGGACAAGTTTCTGTCATAGGCTGTAGTATTCATTACGAACTTCAAACACCGAATTTGAAACAATTCTTGATGTAAATATGGGAAATATCTGCCTACCTCTTCTGGTACCTTCCCGCAAAGGCGTTACAATACTCATATCTTACATTGCAATACCTACAGGGTGAGATGAAAAAACTGCAACAAACTTTAAACTGCTGTCATTTCCAGGCCACTCGTCCGACAGCTGTTAAAAATATTACAGCGACAGCTCATTATATTGTTTACAAGCGTAAAAAAGTGAGAATTTTCCAGAAAAAAATGTTATTCGTGATGGAATTAAAGCGTGATAGTGAGAATTCTTTATATTTGGCTGGAAAACCACAAGTGACTATCGTTAGAGCACACCAGCATTTAAATGTGAATAAATCTTCTGTGACGAAAGAAGCAACATCAGCAGAAATGGTTCAAAAAGTAAAGAAGCGACTTAATCGCAACCCGCTTCGCTGTGGCCGAAAAATGGCTCGTGAGCTGAACATCTCACAATATTCCATTCGGCAAATATTGAAAAATGAGATCGGGGTAAAGCACTTGGAATTCCAAAAAGTGCCAAAAATTACACCACAACAGACAGAAAATAGACTCAAACGAGCTAAAGAGTTGCTTTGCTTGTGCTGAACTGCCGAATTTGGTTTTCCCCGATGAGAAAACATTGGTTGTCCGGCAGTTTGTAAACAAACCAAATGATCGTGTTTATTTGCCAAAGAGGTCAGCTGAAAACATGCACCTTCGGTTAGCCACCAGAACTTAATCGCCAGCCATGGTGATGGTGTGGGCCGCCATAACATCGTAGCTTTCCGCTCGTATTAATCGACCATGGCATCAGAATAAATGTCGAATATTATCGCGAAAATGTTCTGGTGGGTGTATTAAAGCCTTAGGCACGCAAACATTTTGGCCGCAGACCTTGGAAATTCCAACAGGACTCAGCACGATCACATTCAGCACGCTCCACCCAAGAATGATTACAAAATGAAGTTCCTCGCTTCATTTCTGGCGCACAATGGCCACCAAAATCTCCGGATACCAATCCGTTGGACTATTGTGTCTGGAGTGTTTTTGGAAAGCAAGGTTGGCACTAAAAAATACCAAAGTGTCGATCACCTCAAACAAGCGCTTCGCCGGGAATGCTCAAAATAACGCAGAGCAACATTCGGGCAGCGTGTGACGTTTTCATTGGCCGTTGAAGGCCATAATTCGTGCCAAAGGTGACCAATTCGAACAAACTGAAATCAAATCTAAACTTATTCTAAAATTTGATGTTACTTCCGACATTTTTTGCCTTCATCCAATAAAATTAAAAAAAAAAATACTAAAAATATGGCGTTTGGCGGAACCAGAAGACATGGTGCGATATCTACCATCTTTGTAACAGATTTTGTGTTGATGGAAATATTCAGATGTATCAAGTCTGAGTTAAATCGGATGATATTTTCGTGTTTTATGAGCTGCATTTTATGATCGTTTTGGTTACTCAAAATGCTAACCCTTTGTGGGTGAGGTACCAGAAGGAATGGTCCGGTCGCTGCCATCTTTATAACAAATCTTGTGTTGATGGAAATATTGAGATGTGCCAAGTCATAGTGGGTTCAGATAATAATTTCGTGTTTTATGAGCTTCATAAATATTCACAATGTCGACCTTTGTGGGGGAGGTACCAGAATGAGTAGACCGATGCATTTCATCGTCACACCAGACCTTGGACTAGCAAAAATTTTGTGATGTGTGTTATTTGAAGACAATCGGACTTTTACATCACATTTTATAAATATTATAATTATTCCAAATTTTGACAGTTTGTGGGGGAGGTACTTGATGGAGTGGACCAATATTGTCCATTTTTTGCACCTGACCTAGCAAATATTAGGATATACAAGGTTGGAGCAGAAGGAGTGGATGGAGACATTGATACTTTCCGTTTTCAAAATATATTGAATATTGGCAAAAGTTTTCAGAAGAAAAAGTTTGAATAAATTTAAAGTCTTATTTCGAATATTTTATGCAAATAACTTAGATTTTACGTAGTGACGTCACCAGTCATTACCACTCATTTTTTCTTTTTTTTACGTTTACAAGAGCAGCCATTAGGCTTTCGAATAAGCACTTTTTCACAGATGGACTTTTCGATGCTCTGCTCATTTTGTTTAATTATTTTGGAGTATAAAAGTTATCAGTCAGCTACCCGCTACCTCGAAATATTCGTTGGAGACCTAACAGGAATGTATTTTTGGTAATCATCGACTAAACCTTACCCATCCCCACTCCAATTTTTATCACGAAGACAGACGTTTAAGCCTTTGCACAGGCATCAATTTACTTTCGTGATATTTCGAGTTGATAAATTATCATTCACGACTTAAGAATAGTCTATAGTTTGAGACATATCTGCAAAAAAATGGCGATTAAGAGCTTCAGGATCTATGAGAACTTAGCTCTATCTGCAGGTAATTTACAAAATAAGTAAAGCATTGGTATAATCGTACGTCCGTACGTTTCATATTTAGAAGATTTTAACAGAAATTTACAACCCGATATTCCGAGAATTTGGAGATAATTGATCCACGTTTTAGTATTAGCGTCCATGCAAGTGATTTTTTTTGCATTTTAAAGTCCTCTGAACGTAGTGGACAGCCTTGTTGAAGAAGTATTTACAATCGGCCAGTGTCCTGGCGTTGTAAGGCAGATACTATCTCCAGCTTCTTTTTTCCCAGTGTAATCGCTCAACACCTTCACTAACTTGAAGATGTGTATCTCCGATGGAACATATTCACTGGTTGTCCGTTTCCAGCTTTCTTTATTTACAGGGTGAGACTCCAAAAAGTCAAATGCCATAATTTTTACATTTTTTTTTAAATTTTATTGAATGAAAGCTAATTTTAGATTAATTTCGAATTTGTTCCAATTGGTCACCGAATTGGCACGGATTATGGACTTCAAACGGCCAATGAAACTCGAATGTTGCTCGGCGGTATTTTGGCCCATTACCGGAGAAGCGCTTGCTCTGCCCTCACCCTGTAATTGCTCAATACCTTCTTGAAGATGTGTATCTCTGATGGAACAAATTCACTGGTTGTGATATGTTTAGTCAGTTTCATTTATTTTTGAAATAAAGAAAAGCAGTTATAACCTTAGTCCCTTGCTTTGCATCAAGCTTTTTATCCCTTGCTGTGATTACTTACCATATCCCCTCTTTCCTTAATTTCTGTTGGGGCGCCATTGGCATAAGAAAACCAATGGCAGTTTTAAGACTACAACAATAACAAAAACAATGTGTATGTTTGATTTTTTTGGTAATTATTTGTATTTTTATTTTGTTTTCCTTTTTCCATTTCAATAAATTATTTATTCATTAATATAATATTTAGTTTAGTTTTATTTTCATTTCGTTTTCGATTTTTTTTCTGCAATTTGTTTATTATTTAATTTTTACTTTAGTCGC